TTCAGAAAGGAGCTAAACTTGCATATTCATATGCAATGAAGACACAAATAAATATTTGCAAAGGTAAACTATACGTTTAGATTATAAAGATAATTGAGTTGATTTCCTCTAATGAGTGTTCTCTATTTTACAATATTTGGGATTATTTTTTATTTATAAATATATAATCTTTCATCAATACATGTCTAGAAATGGCCAAATTATTCACTGAAAAAGCATTTATTCATTAAGGTTCCTGATTTCAGGCCTTGGGTGAACTGGGTTTCATATCTACTTGTTTGCAGTTTGCACTATTTCTGCTTCAACCCAGTTATTTGTGAACTGCTAACTTGATTATTCTGTAACTGTGATACATGATTGGGCACAAAAATCACATGGCATTTTTCCATCTCACTGGAAGGCAATACTTAGAGTAACAAACTGATTACAGCTGAGAAAGAATCATCTTATTTACAGGTTTTTCTATGCAGGCTTGGACATTTGTACACCAAGAGGTACTTACAAACCTTTTTAAATAAGAATTCCTTTTTATGGATGTTCATATATAGCAGTGACAGCCACAGAACTACTATGAAAGCAAAAAGCAGTTTGAAGTTCTAGCAAACTCTTATTACTACTGTTTTAAGGGAGTAACCTTGTCCTCTGCATTTAAAGAGCAGTGTGATCTGTTACACCTTGCAATGAATTGCAGATCTCGCTCTCCACCATTAGCACAGAGCAATCTGGTAGTTGCACCTTAATGTTGCAAAGAAAAAGACAAGGTGAAGAATTTGGTTCTCTCTAATGGCTGGAAAGAACTATAGAACAGTTAAAGACTCTTGCCCGAAAGTGATGCCCCTGCAAAAAAACAGCTGAGCTTAAAAATCATTTTTTTCAAGGAAGAGAGGCTCTTGTACAATGCTGATCGGGCTTAGCAAATGTAAGGACAAAGAACAATGCTACCACTGCCAGAAAATCAATACTGTTACAGGCTATGGCAATTAACTACAAACCAATTTAAACCTCATTTCCTTTTCACCTTTCTTGTCTTGTTGAAATACTTCCAACTCTTCCATCTGGAACAATTATTATTATCATTTCTAAATGCAGAAACTGAAGAATATCTGAATACATAGGTGGGTTTATATCACCTTCTCACGTATCCTTAGTAGGTACCTCCAAGGTTTCATTACAAAAAAAGGCTGGATACAATATCCTACTGAGTTCTCCAGTGACAAGTGAATTTGTAAAAATTCCAGAGGTGAATTTCATTAAAACGACAAACCCAGATGTTTACAAGGTAAAAGCAGAACTTGTCCCATAATGCTTAGAAACCCTATTCATAAAGCAAAGAATTCAGTATGCTGGATGCAACGCAAATGCACACAATGTGTGCCCATCTAGTTCATGATCTAAATATCAGCAAGCATAAAATACATACAGAAATGGAATTATAGAGAGTTGGAAACCATAAATCAAAACATAGATCAGATGTCTAAAGAATCCTGAAGTACCTAGAAAACCCCTGAAATCAAAGTCCTCACAGCTTCCACAGTTCATTCCTTTGCTTTAGTTTTATCTGTAAATTGATGACCTAATGTGATCTAAATTTTGCTTCCTTCTCCAAGATTTATTATTAGTATAGCTATCTCAAAACTCTTCTACTTTTAATTTCTTCTGACCAACAGAAACCTTTGTTTCCCCAGACTGACTAGTGGCATCTGTTTATACCACCTTTCAGGATGACTCGGAAGAAACCAGAGTGTTGATGCTTAGGTTTAGCACTGTTACTGAGGGTGATTTAGTAATAGTTTACGTACTGTGATATAAATCTCTGAGTTAAAATTTCTGAAGGAAAAGCAACTGATCTTGTACCTACAGCTATAAATCATTTTTACATCAAAATTCGGTTGCTAGCACAGAAAATAAACAACAGCACTCATTGAAAGCATAATTGAACCTTCCTTTAGGAGAATGCTTTTCTAATGATGAGGAAAGATATTGACACTCAGTTTCCACTTCAGAACTCATTTAATGGGCAACCCAAAGTGTCTCAGAGCAGGCTAGGAGTTAAAATTTCACTTGTGTAATTATTCTGAGGAAATATGTAAGTCTGCCATCTGGAAGTGTATTAGACATTACAAAGTCACTGTATGCATGCCTCAGCAGATGCAGCTTTTGTTCAGAGTTTTGAGGGCTGTTAATTTTATTAGTTTTGTATTTTCATACTCCCACCTTCCCTCCAACAGTAATTCTGCAAAGGCAGCATCAGTACAGCTTTAAAAGAAACCAAAGCTAAAAGCCAAATTCAGGTTTCGAGGAAATGCAAACAAGTATACTTCCTATAGACTTCAAATAGAGCTTGACCTGTTTAATAGCCAGCCTAAATGTTACTGCCAATGGCTTTTTAGATCGTAACAAAAAGTTGTGCTCAATGTATCCTTTCGCACATTAGCTTTCTTATTCTAAGAAGGCTAGGAAAGGATTCTATCACTTCGTTTTCTTTGTTTATCAAAACCACTCAACAACAATGACCTGCAGAATGTAAAAAGTCTCTCATTTTTTCCTAACGCCTTTAATGTAAGGGGATGCCAGACAAATGTTTGGGTTTGATGTTTTTAGTTTTGTAGGGCTTTTTCCACCAGAATAGTGAGCTGTGTGGTAAATCTTACACAGTAAAAGTAAGCTTCATATTTCTGAGTAAAGAAAAGTTTGACAGTTCTAAAAACTAGGACCATTACTGGCCTAAAAATAAGGACTACCCCTTTACAGTTTCTTCCAGCATTTTACATTTCTTATCATGACTTTCAAACTAAATAATGTGACATTTCTACCAAATAATTCATAACATACAGTACAATAACTATCTGTGATGAAGGTGTGTACATGTACAGATAAACCTATTTGCTTATCTCTAACCTTTAACCCTCTAAGCTGCAACACATGAGCAGATCTCAGTGCAGGGTCTTAACTGCACAGATCTCCATGCAGTAATGCAGAACTATAAAACCAAGTTGTTTATTAGATTGTAAACCCATGCCAAAACATCATCCTGCAATATTTGACAATGTTCAGAATTTCTTTCAAATGAAAATCCAGCCAAGGCACACAACCTAGCGATGAACCCAAAATCGGGTCTGAAGCTCAGACCTTGGGGATCCAAGAACATTTGGGACACCATGAAGCACGCACACACAGCTAAAAGCAGGAACGTGGGAAGAGAGACAATTTCTAGGAAGCTTTCTAGAAAAAACTTTCACAATTAACAGCAAACCCTTCAAATAGCAAACATTTTACAAATAAACTGAATAGAAAAATCAAACAAGGCTGATATGAGGAAAAGCTGAGAGACAACCAAGAGTGAAAAAGCATAGTAGATTTAGAAAATGTGTGTTAACACACCCACTAGAAAGAAACATATGTGTACGCTATAGTTTGATGTTTAACTAACTAGGATAATTTACATTGGAACAGCTAATCAGGTTACTACACAGATAACTAGCTGCCCTGCTGCATGGATACCTGGGCTTCCTAATAAACACTTTCTGAAAACAGAGGAGTTTACAGCCCAGTATTGATTTCAGGTCACCTGAAAACATAACAGTATAAACTGCAGCTGTCCAGGAGCCGCTTGCTGAGCAGCTCAACCACCTGTACAACAGGAAAAAATAGTTGTGGGCAATAACTGCATCAGACATCCCAAAATAATCATCCCTGTTCACAAACAGAAGCTTTTCATGTACATTAGTTTCCACTTATTATAACAATGTCTAAGCCAATAAATAAGAAAATAGGAATATTAGCTATAGTAAGAGAGAGATTCTTATAATCAATGCTATAAAATGGGAAACTATACTACAGTATGGCTGAAATGCTAAGGATACCCTGGGTTGCTCCTCCCAGAAAATATTTGTTGGTCTTACTGGATTTCATGATTTCGAGAAACTGAGGAACTTTGTGGGGTTTTTGTTTTGGTTTGTGTTTTGTTGGATTTGGGGTTTTTTTAATTATAAATGAGTATCAACTATCAAACCTGAATTTTCCTACTTAGTGAGAGAAGGTGTTTTGATAACACTATGAAAATACACCATAACATTATACCCACAAAGGAAATAGTTTGCAGATGTATAAGTAGTAGTCCACCTAAAACTCTTCTAAATTTAGAGGATTATCTAAGAAAATCTGTACGAAGACAGTAAAAACACTACAAACTTTCTAATCAGACAAGAGATCAAAGAGACAACTAAGTCTATAGGATTAGTCAAATATCACACTGAGACTAGGAATTCATATACCTAGAGAGAAAACGATGATATCTAATGGCAGAAATACTGAAGAATATAGTCTATAATGAAAAAATATTTATTCTAAAATGACCTATTTCCTGAAAAATACAATGCACAAAATTTAAAATCCAGAGCCATGTTTTAATCTAATCTTTATGTATTTATATGTAACATATAAATATGGTCATGTATATATAGTCCATATATAGATAGTTCTATATATACTTATATATGTACATAAAATAGGTACATGTGATGGGTTCCCCTATTTCTGTACTGAAATAAAATGACCTTTAAAAGTCTCAGAAAGGATAGTGAAGTGCTGCTCTACCCAGTGTTACTCTTGGAAAACAGAAAGAAAAGGAGCAAGTGGCAGAAGAGGCAGCTGACGCTGGCTACCCAGGGACAGCAAGAGGCTCTAACAGGCTCGGGAGGTGGTGAGCCAGCTGTGATATTGCTTGATACTTGAAACGGATCAGACTCCATAACAAAAGGGGAAAAAGTTGCATCAAAGGCTTACTAAATCACCAAAAAGGAAAAAAGTATGGCATGTACTGGGTTCTGAAGAGTACATAGCTGATCGCAAAGTAACTTTGTATCTACAGGAACAGAACTAGGGGCCAAATTTCGCTACTGAACAACACAGGAAATTCAAATTTAATTTTTCACACAACTCAGATTTCAGCCTCAATGATTTATTGCATGTTCCAGATGCAATAATAAACATGCACTTACTGAACAGCTTTTGTCAGAATTCCTTTTCCATTGCTTCTTGATTTGCTTCTTTGCTGCAGTTGAATGAAGAGTTGCATGTGTCTGTTTTCGGGGATTTAAAGCCAGAATGTTCTGTAGAAAGAGAACAGGAAATTTTAAAATATAGATAAAATTTCCCAAAAATTTCAAAGTCTCTTAAATCACACCTCACACACCTATTTACAGTGCTATGCAAAAACAAAACACAATTACTCAACATTATATCCCAGCTTCATACTAATTTGTTTAGATTTGTATTGTCCGCACCACTTAGATTATGAATATTTAAAGACATTTCTAGGACTGCTAGAAAACAGAATTATATTTAGTCACCATGATAATCGTTTCCATTCCCGGAAGTTTGTTATGTAGGGCATATAGAAACACATAATTCTGCTTCATTGTATCACTCCAAGTAACACTCGTAAAGCAAAACAAGCAAAAATATTTTAAAGGATCTGGGTTATTTCTGGATGTTTCATCATTTCAGTATAAATTCCAACTTCCCCTTCACAGCACCCTGCCTTTATGCCTAGTGAGCTGATGAGTTAACTTCATTTCTCTTACAATGCTTTAATTTGCAAGGACACAAACAAATGTTGGGAATACAGCCGTATTTTCAAGTGCCAGTGGTGGTCTGATGACACAGGCAGAATGAAGTTTGTAATGTCTTTCATTATGCTAGTGTAACTTGAAAAATTAAATCAGCTTTTTGGAACCCAAGCTCTTTTTCAAATCAGGTGAATGACAGGTTTCCATAGCAAAACTGATCTCATTTAATTCAAGGTATAATGTGAACAAAGTGCAAACAACAGATCCAGACTCAGGTCTGTGATAGAGAACAAAAAGAGCCATATTTTTGGTTGTAACTCCTGGAATTGGTTTTGTCAGTAAGTTTTCCTTTAAAAAAACTTGACTTTAGCACTATACTTCTCCACTGTGGTGAATATGGTATGCTTATTTTGTTAATATATGTCAAAGATGTGCGAGACTGACTTCAGAAATGGAGACTGAACTTGATGATGATGATCAGGATGCTTCCTTATTTTAAAAGTCTGCTTGAGTGGGTGATAATGATGAAGTAGTTATCTGTTGTATTAAGATTTTATTGTGCTGTTTATGGGGACTTTTTTTTTTTAATGCAACAGGGTCACTTTCTTATCAACTATTTAATACTTACTCTGGACTGGTCAGTAATCCATTTTTCCCACAAAACAGAAATCTCACCTACTTGAAAATTTTACCTGCAAATAACAACATAGCCCAATGTAGTAACTCCCAGCTTGCCTGAAGCAGAGAGACAAAAAAGTGGGGTACAACATTCAAAAAGGTATAGATTATTTAGCAGCCTACATGCTGTTGACTTTCAGGAAGAGTTAGAGGATGTTATCAGATGTGCCTCTGCAATTCCAGCAGTAAAGACTCTTCTCCATTTCTGGGTGTTCCCCAGCTGGGTACCTCAGGCAAGATGTGGCAACCAAATACATTCAGTGGTGGGTTATGCTAATTTATTTCCTTCTCAATTAAAACAGAGCAGGGACATTCACATAAACAATGTCACTTACAGCATCTCAGTTGCTACTTTAATTTCTCAGGATGATTGAACTCAACTGTCAGAGCACATCTGACTCATTGGTGATAGACTGTTGAGTGCCCAAATCACCCAAACTGGGCAGTAGGTCCTGAATCACACAAACACTTTAGAAAAATTTTGCCTACTCTCTTTTGTAATTGCTTAACGCAGTATTCTTGGCCATGAATATTATAATTATTTTAGCACACTGAAATGAATTGCAAATTTCTAGTAATAAACTGTAACAGATGTACTCCACTAGGTACAGCATCAGTTGGTTTAAAACATGGAACAAATGGTGGGGCAAGCCAAGGACGGAAGAATCCCCATATGTTTGCTCCTGTTGGAATTCTGCAGCAGGAGCATGGCTCCAAGCGCAACAGTTGCAGAAATCCAAAAGGACTACGTAGCGCAGCATGTCCCAGAATTAAATCTGAAATAAAACTGGCACAGAACATACTAAATCACATATACAATATAAAAATTGCTTATATTCCCACTACGTAAATAAAATACTATCTGCCTAAATCTTGGATTGCTGACCAAGGTGGCTGTTCTAGCTAGAGGTCCCTGGTGTTTAAGAACAGCTCAGAATTTAACTGCCTAAATGGGAAAGTAATGTAAATGCTTTGGGGTCTGTTAAACTGTCAGAAAGAAAAATTAGTGAGGGTGTTTTCTTCCTATTCATTTCAGTTCCCTGGTTGGTTTTCCGCAGCTTATGGCTAGTCAGACATTTAGTAAATTTAACAAATAAATTCAGGTAGGTGAGCCAGTAAGTGGAAAATCACTGAGAAGAAAGTTCTAGAGGGAGTGTTGCCACTAACACTTCATGTATGCACCCAGCTAAACAAAAATAAACCCCCTTGGACATGCAAGAAAGGAAGCCTAGGACCCCCAATCTCTCAAAGACACTGGCCATCTGACCGGGGGAAAGCTCATTGGTGAGGAGAATTATTTGGGCATCTGTGATCTTGCTTGTCCCAATCCCATGCTTATTCTGCTACATAAATTCTCATTCTTGCTAGATGAGCTGTTGTTTGATCTCTCCAGATGTTGAAAGGGCAAGACTCAAGTTCCCCAATGGAGGATGTGGGTACATAATACATCACTTTTCAGAGTACTATGAGCTTTGGATTTCACATTAAGATGCTACTTGTATAGTAATGGGGAAACCTATGAATTATATATTTAGTGGTTTACATAAATGGCCACATTTATTTCATTAAAAACAAAGTAGGTATAAATCCATTATCATTAATGGCTGCAAATCAGAATATAACGCTGCTGTATTCTGTAGAAAACTATTTACGTACTACATTGATGGAGAAAGAAATAACGCTATGAGTAAGTACACAGAAGTAAATTCAGCCCACGTTGAGTACACACTTGTGGCACAGCCGCACAACATGCATAGTAGAATTAAGCCTGTGGCTTTGCACAACACCAATGATTATGGGAACCACGAAAGTATTACACTTTCTTTCATTATTTCCATAGATTAATTTTGAAGATCTTTTTGGGAAGAAAGCCAAGTGGTCTGTCTCTACTGAACACAACTCAATACATATTGCAGATGACTCCCTCAAATACAACTACCTTAAGGAATTCGTTTAATAACCCATGACAATGATTTCTCTTATGTCTTTTAAAAGACAAAGATTATTATAAGCTAAAAAATATTAAAGAATTGTTTAATTCCCTAATACATCCTCTTCTAGAAGGGAACATATTCTTTATGACTAATACGTATTGATTTAGGTTGCAAGTATCCTAAAATGCTATGAACTACTCATATGTAATGTACATTGAGAATGACTAGCATGCGTGATAGCTACAATTTTTAAATTTTGAGAATTTAGTGATAAATGGTTATGTTGATCTGTGCCAACACAGTAACGTAGCTTCTGAGAATAAACTTGCCATAAGATATTAATTAGATATTTATTGCTTAGCTTCTACTTTAAAGGCTATGATTAAGAAGTCTGCGTAAAAAAATACTAGCTCTAATCTTCACTATCTTCTATTAATGAAAAGGCTGTAAAAGTTTTAAAACAGCATGTTATATTACAGTGAGTAATTTACCAAGAATTTGAATTAATATTAGTCCAAATAAGTGATTTCAAGGCAGTTATTTGGGATAGGACACATTCTGCATTTGGGAGTCCTGTTTCTGACACAGCATTTTGGGGTAAATCAAGACAAGTTTGGCACATGCTCTGCAGTGATCCAACATAAATTTCTGGTATACAAATTCAATTTCATTTTTAATTTCATTAAAAGTGTCACACTCCTTTTATTCCCATCTCATAAAGCCACCCTTTTAGCTGAAATCTTATGAAGCTATTGCAATTAAATCTGATTTTTAACTAAATGCCTATTCAGCAAAATAAAATATAAAGTTATGGGAGCACTATGCTTATTAAGAACGCTCCAACACCAACCAGGGCAGGGGTGCAGGCAGAGAGGGGATGGTGTTAAGAAAAAAAAGTACAATTTACATCATAGGTGGGACTGCAGTAACTTCAAGGCAGTCATCAAAAAGTCCTGCTAGTCTAGCATTGTCTTTGTAAAATACATGACATCACTCCAAATTCTGAAAGCTTTTCTTTAAAGCACTAAGCTTTGAAGTCTTCAGCTTTTTTCTTTTTTTTTTTTTTTTCCCCCAAAGTAACAGCCTTAGCAAGGTGTCCTGGTTATGTGGACCTTACCTCTCATTCGAAACAGGAAATTTGGTAAAAATTCCACAGTTAAGATTACTCTGCTTCTGGAAAAACTACTATTAAAACCAATCAGCTGCACCAGGAGTACTTAGTCCTTAGTAATTCTCACCTTTGTTACTGGTAATTCAAAGCCAGAATAAGGATCAGAAAAACCCTCTTCAGGCTCCGTCACAGGTTGCGTTATTAAAACTGTATAGGCTTCTTAATAAGACAAAGTAATAATTTGCTCTTTCCATGGATTCTGTCCACTTTCTCTAGCTTGTTCGGGAAGTTTCTTATGAATGGCCCCAAAACGCCGGCTGAAGTTCACCACAGATCAATACGCATACAGTCACAATGAAGCTGCTGAAAATGCAACTGTTCACATACTGGCTATGATTATGGGCGCAAAATGTGGTCCGTGTGTTATTCACTTTGTTTTAGCATACAGCATATTTACCTAACCCAGCCCCTGCAATACAGAGGTTATATCCTGTTTTACTCCAGTTGCTTCACAGACTATCCTCAGCTAAACTCTTTTACATTTTTTATATATATGTATAAATATTGTTATATATACATATCTCTCTCAATTAAAATTCAGGAGTAGGCTAGGCATGCTAGGGAATGCATGTGGAGAGCAATTTAACCCATCCCATTCCATTAATCTACCCAATTTCCTTAAAAAGAGTTGTAATCTCCCTCACAGCAAGTAATGTTAAATGTATTGCAAGATATGTATGTTCACCAAGTGAACATAATGAGAACATATTTCTTTTTTCTAAGAGTAATGAGCATATTAAACAATTAATTTCAAAGCTATGCAAGTGTTAATTCACTGACAGAAACAAGTACCTGGGGTTTTTCCCCTGATATTTTCTAGTATAGCTGAACATGAAACTAATTTTATTATTGTTAGTCAGTCAAAGACCAAAGAACTAAAGCTAGAAGTGTTTGTTTTCATGAGATTAGATGACCCAGAATAATGAGTATTGTTTAAAAATCATGTCAGTTAAGAAAAGGATGACTAAGGCTTGAACTCAATCTATTAATATCTTTTTTGAACTGCCAAGTTCACA